AGTTGATTTAAAAAAAAACAAAAAAAACTTAAAATCATGCCAAATATGTCAGCTTTGACATTGCTAATTTATATTGCTTCATCAAAATTTTAGATTACCTTCAGGTTTTTACTTGAATTGATCAACATTTGGAGTGTTTACATAACTAAGGGTAACTGTCCATGTGTATTTTTACATAACTGAGGTTATCCACCTGTATGTATTTTGTACTGATATTGTTGCTAAAGATTTTTTAAGAAAAAAGTTTCAGAAGATTATAGATTCAAGTTGAGTTTTGGCTTCTTTCAAACCATAAATTGTAAAAATCTTAACTATTACTGACTTTTAACTTTTTAAAAATATATTATTTAGAAAATGGCTGCATTCTGCTTTTATACTTCTGATATTTTTAAAGTCTTCTCACATTACAATGTTTTTTCCTCTTTGGGAACAAAATGGTAAATAGAACACTAAGAATTTGTCTTTGATTTCATGATTATTTGGTTTTTATTTTTAGAAATGTTGGCTGAAGAAAGAAAAGTCTTTTGAAATATTATTTTGAGAAACATCACTGCTAACAAATTCTGATAAGCCTCTTGAGAATAAAACATTTCTTCTCATAAAAAAAACCCAATCTGGAATCCATGACCAAATCCCTAACCAAATATGCTTTCAGAAATTTGATTCTCACTTAATTTTAACTTACACAAAGAGATTAGTACTTTCTTCTTTATTATTTTAGTTTTACAATCTCAGAAAGACAAAAAAAAATATCCTTTATTTTACTTTATCAAAAGTAAAAACTAATTTTGCATTTTCAGTTTTTTTTTTTTTTTTCTAAGTCTAGGTTAAAAAAGCTTAATTTCTTAATTTTTAAATTTCCTACTTTTAATATAACAGAATATAAAATCTCAAGTAATATGTGTGAGTTCTTGGCCCAATCTTTTTCATAAGAGTTTAGCACATAACTGACTGATGCCTTAGTCTAATCGCTTTTTATGTTGTTTGTCTCTCTTCCACTGAACATGAGTCTATGGCTTTGCCCACTATCTGGCCTGGATATTGAACTCGGGATTGCTGAGAAACTGGATAGGTTTTGATCAACCCTTCAATCAAGATGGAACCATTTCTAGATTGAATGTCATCAAAAGTAGATACAAATGGAATTCAACATGATCTAGACAAGTTGTACAAGCAGGAGTTTTGCCAATTACGGTAGTTGAAAGATCACTGTATAAGCTGTAACAATATATGCTATCTGTCTATGAAAGTACTTATCAGCAGACACCGATTAAGTACCTCTGAGAAAACAGAAGGTATCAAATTTGCAACCCCCATCAAGTGAGTCCCATACTTAAATGTCATGGCCCCAATTAAGGAGGCCATTTTGAGACTGCATAAAAGTTTCCAAAAAAAATTTCTGTCAGACCTTCACAGGATGATATCAAAATTTGCATACTGTAAACAAGGGCAGCATAACAGTGATGATTAACAAGTTAGAAGATTAAGAAAAATTGATAACTACAGCAAGGTTAAAAAAATTCACAAACCACTGAAATAATTTGTTGTCAAAGCTTGTTGAGCAGATTCTTCCTTATATATATATAACAATCAGTTCAGAGGTGTAAAGAACTCTGCCTATTTTGTAGAGACCATCAGAGATGCTTTCATTCATGCCAAGTGGATTGGATGTTGTGGGCAGATTCATCAAGAATTTGATTCCTCTCTATGAAAGTATTTAAGAGTTCTGATAAATGACCTGATGAAAATGTTGCTATTAGATGTGCAAACAACATGCTTCCAATGGGGTTCTAAACAGTAAGAAGCCTTGGCTTAGCTTAGATCAGCATTATTTCTAGTAATGGCAAAAACTTTGAGGAAATTGCTATAGGAATGTCATCATTAAAGCCAACTACATGGCTTTGATTCATAGATGGCTTTTCATTCTCCAACCCCCACCAGAAAGATATGTTGGATCATGTGATTTCAATATGACCTTCTATACAATTCACAATTGAAAAGGAAGCAGAAGAACAACTTACGTAGAATATAGTTTGAAAACATCCATATATCTTAAAACAATATGAATGGGACAATACCTGAACAATGCCCACCATCTATAGTGTCAAAGAAAAAGGGATTGTCTGCTGTGTACAATATTGAACCAAACTTGTAAGTGGCAACCCAGACACGAACCAACAGATTATCAACAAACCCTGCAAACATAATATCAACTTCCACAAGCTGGGACAGAAAGATAACAATAAAAAAATATGCATTGGTCTGCCTATTATACCAAAGGGGTACATTAGAAAAAATTTGGGGGATAACATCAGTTTTCAACTCATTCAAGATCTCTCTCCTGTACCTATTCTCTCTAAGAAGAGTGTTTTCTATCTCTTGCAGCTGTGTCATGGAATAAAATAACTAGACCAGCTGCTCATTAAAAATAAAACTGTAGTCTTGAGAGAGACTGAAATCAGTTATAGCTGCCCATGTGGTCATCATCTCCTGTGAAAAATTAGAGGATAGACTGAAAGAAAGAATGGGTTCACATGAAACTCACTGAACTCAATATAAAGATGAATAAAATCTGGGAGCTTCTGATTAATATAGGAAGGACACTAAAAAATTCCACCATTTGAATATAGACATTAAATTTAAAGCTCCAAAATTGAATTGTCCATTCACATGTAGCTTAATGGATTCTGGTTCCTAGCATTCATGAATTCAATCATTGGATTTTGTAGTGTAGAAAAGTAGAAGAAACTGATAAGCAACATATTTTCCAAGAATAGAAAAAAAAATAAAATGATTGAATAAAGAGTTTGGTTCACTTTTATTCTTTTTTTTTTTTTATATCTCAGTTGCAAAAATTTTAATTAAAAAAAATAAAACTATTTAATAATAAAAAGTCTAGATTAAAAAGGCTTAATTTAAAAAAAAAAAATGGGCATGTTGAAAAGTTCTCAGCCTAATCTATTCTCTAAAATGTGACCATGCATCAGATGTTTGTTAAAAGGTTCTATGGTGAGTTTACCAAATATGACAGACACCTGAAGAAGGCTGGAGAGTATAATGGTTGAAACATTGTGAGTATAAAAATTGAGATGAGTATACTAGTTTAACTAGAAAAGCATATAATAGTAGTAATAATAATTGCACACATACATAAATCCCCCTTGTAAGTTCATGTGCTATCATTTTGGTCAAAATAAAACTTTACTGTTAATTTTGCATTGACCCATACAGGAAATATTTCTCAATTTGAAAAATTGGAAAGTATTTTTAGTTATTTTGACTTAGTCAAAAATTGAGATGATATTTTGGCAAACTTGTCGTGAAAGAAAATTCACAATTGTATTGTAACTTTCATGCATTTTGTCAAAGATCTAATCATTGACACACTATTTAATACCATTAGTACATCTAGGTGAAGTTAATCTGGCTATTTAATGTGTCAGCTCTTACGAGATTTTTTTTTTCTTTCTTAAGCTTTCTACTTTGGTCACATATTCATTTATTTTTATTTTGTTCGTTTTAAAGCTGTAGAAATTAATTTGAAATGGGCTTCTTAGGCAAAATGTCACACACACACACACAATCTTAGCATTCCTTTTATTCATTCTTTATATGTAAAAATTCAGAAAATGTTATGAAAATTTTTTTCTCTGTAAATTCCAATAAAAATCAAATCCATTCTGATTAAATATTTCTCAAGAACTTTACAAACTTTTGTAAACATTTTTCCTCTTCACTTTTTAATTTTGAATTGATAGAAAAAAATCTTTTCCATTTGTGCCTTAAACTTTTTTCTTTGTATGCATGTGCTTCTAAAAGCCTTAGAATAGAAATGTATGGATTCTTTTCTCTTTTTTTTTTATCTGCCTGTCTATTTATAATCTCACATTTCCATTCAATGGAAATATTTTATTTTAAAATTGACTTATTCATCTAATAATTGAATTTTCTTTCTATCTTTTTTGTCTGGTTGATAAAATTATGTTGGTAGTTTCTTGTAATCATGATTGAAGACTTTACAAAACATGAAATACTTCAATGGTTGAACATGGCCAATAGTCTTAATCACTTTTCTTGCAACACTATACTAAATAAGGCTCAATGTTTTTGTTTATTAATATCAGAAACATTATATATTAAGTGATATTCGATATTTTGTTTCACTTACTATCTTTTGATTAAGTTTAAAATATATGACAAACAGCTTCCAGGATTACAAATGTGTTAACTGACCTTGTGTGTCTGGGGTAGGATAACTTTTGGGATATTTTTTGTTTTGTCTGTCATTATAAAACAGACATATTTGTTAATATTTGGTTAAATAGTAAAAAGAGGGGGAAAAAAAAAATTATATTTTTGTATTCTTTATAAATATGGCTTTTCAATTATTATGGTACGATAAGAGAACTTGCAGTTGGCAGAAAGTGCTTTGATAACTGAATGTGGCTCACAAAAAGAATTTACACCAGATATCTTTTATTTAAAGTAAGTTGAAGACTGGGTCAACCAAAACATGGAAGCTAATAAGACGGACTAAGAAAAGAAAATTGAATGTTAACATATTTCTTCTTAGGCAAAAATTGCTAATTAGTTGATATTTGATACTCAAATCATACATCCTGTATATGCCATGCACACACACACCATGTATATATATATATATATATATATATATATATATATATATATATATATATATATATAATGCCTGGCATTAATTTCACATTATTTTAAGTAATGATATGTGATTATTCAAATGGCTTGAACCAATCATTAAGCATCAAAGTTTGACTATGAAAGGCAAGCCAGATTTATAAAATTTGAATTATGAAGAAACAACCATTAATTTTGATATTGCCTTGTAATAAAATACAAGTGTTCCTACCTTTTTTCTTCTTTTTAAGAGATTGAAGACAACTGTGTTGTTGGTAAATGAATGAAACCAATTGGTAGCAATTTTATTCTCTTGCTTAATCTGTATGTGTTGCTTCTTATTTCAGGTGACATTCTGGGAAGCCCTAAACAAAAGCCGACCGTCCACAGGAAATGCCTCCATGGAAGAGGAACGCTTATTACAGAGGTAACACGCTATTCATATTTATAGCAAAATAATCAGTTATTGTCTAGGGTAGAATTGCTTGTATTGTAATTATTCTTTTCTTAACACATGCCTTCTTGTCAATTTTTCTTTGCCAGTTAGTACACAATTAATCCCTCTTTGATTGATAAACAAATTAACTTTTACTTTATAAAAGATCACTGTTTATGTTAACTATAGAGTTTTGGCATTATCATTAAAATAAAAATAGAAAAATTTGAAAAATCCTCATTTAAAGTTATAAAGAAAATTATCAGACCATGTCTTTGGTTAAGTTTGGCTTGTAGAATCTGCTTAGATTTTAATTTTTCTTAAGCAATATCAATTTGTTAGATTTTCAGAGAAGAGATACTGGCATAAGAATAAAAAGAAGATAATCTTTTTTTTTTATTTATTTATTGTTTTGAAACGTGTTTCACTATTGGAGGCTATTTGAGTCATTTAAGACAAACATTAGGGAAGGTTTTACTTTGTCTATGCAAAAACAAATCAACATCCAGCCACTCACAGAAAGTTTAAAACCATTTATTTTCTTTTCAACATCATCACTTGATAAGACACAGAGTGTGTTGAAACAAAATGGCTATTTTTGTAGTGATTTTATAACATACTTATGTTATAATTTTTTTATAAAAATAATTATATCTGCTCTACTTTGTATTGAGCACTCTTTTAAGAATAGTAATTGTTGGTTATTGGAATTCATTCCGTGTATACCAATTATATACTTTGGTATATATATATATATATATATACATGCACACATAATCTTTTTTTAAAAAAAACCTGGCAGTGGAGAATTAGGCTATTTCTCATCTCTGCAATATTTCTAAAAAAGAAGACTCAAATCTTGTTTATTCTGTGTTTACAAAATATTGGCAAAAAAGATATTTGGCCTAAATGAGAAACAAATGACCTTCTGTCTTAAATTTAATTTTAACACTTTGACAGGGCCATTGCTGAGAGCATCCGGATGTCCGGATCTGAACTGGATGTTGGGATGAATCGTCAAATAATCTCCGAGCCATTATCTTCGCCAACGTTGGAAAATGATGATGAACAGTTGCGGTTGGCAATGGAAATCTCACAGAAAGAGCAGCAGGAGGAGGAGCACAGACGTAAGGCCGAAGAAGATGAACTTGAACGAATCCTAAAACTATCACTTACTGAAAAATAGTTGTCTTCAACTGCATACACACATGTGCACACACACAAACACATCTCCCCCTCTCCCATCTCTTTCTCTCTCTTACAAAGCAATCACTTGTCTCTAATTCATTTCTCTGATGCATTTGTTATTTCACAAATAATTTGTTATTGTTCTTGAAACACAATAACACAAAAGCAAATTAAAGTTCTTTATTGTTATAAATAACAGGTCAGTTTTTTTCTAATACATTTTTATAGAAAGATAGTCTAACAACATTGTCAGTGTAGGTACACATTAAGATTTTTAGTTTTCTTGTAGGGAAGCAACTACAAAAAAAAAATATCAGTTTAATATGTTCATTTAGTATGGTAATTTACTTGATGCTGAAAGTTCACTTTATGATAAAAACAACACTCACCATTTACCAATAAAGAAAAAATCATTTAAGGAAAACCTGCAACAATTGTCATGGTAAGAAAGATCTTATGAAAAGTCTGTAAAGCTTTTTATTAGCCAAAGTCTTGACAAAATTCAGCAAGTTCATTCCCCATTAAAAATAAAATAGTCTTGTTTTGTATGTGAGAATTTTGTTCACTGCCTAAAGTGAACTTTTTCTCACTCAAGGCTTTTTTTCTCCTTGTAATGGTGATGAAGTAAGACATTTTTAAATTGCTAAAGATAAATCTAATGGAGAGGCTCATTTAAAAAAATCTCAAAGGAAATGGAACTTAGACAATTCAGCTCTGAACCATATTTCAGGATGACTTAGTGTGAAGAGATATTCCAACTTTTGATAAATTTATTCTTTCTCTCCTATATGTAAGAAAATTTTCAGGTTCAGCTCTTCATATTCATTCTCCTCCCAATAGCCCTGCTCTCTTCTATGTCCTTTTGTAGTGTGGTGATGGTATTTTTGTTGTCTCGACACTACCATCACTGCTGTTAGAAAATAACACTATACCATTATCTCCATCATCATTATTGGCACTTGCTGATTAAAGCAATTTAGTGTGGAAAACTAATAAATCACACACACACACACACACACACACAAAAAAAAGTTTGCTCTTATAATTATTAAGGGACAAGTGTCATGGCTTAGCTGGTTCAAATTTGAGTCCAGGAGCCAGCCTTTAGTCTTTCACTCTACCATCCCCAGTGTCATCAGTTGTGTACTTGTAAAATATGCAATATTAAAAACAAACACACACAGACTTGATTAATTGCACAAAGTGAAGTATTTTGATACTTGACTCCCTTTTATTATTATTGTCATTGATAATAATCTCCTACTCTGCTTCTGTGTTGGTGAAAGTTTTTTTTTTTTTTTTTTTTTTTTTTTTTTGGAGGTATTCAGTAAGGTTATTTGGTGTTTCCTGAGTTAAAATGCAATCTAGTCTCATTAAATTTTGATGAGTAATTATTTTTATTGTTTTTTTTTGTTTTTTTTAAATAGGTGTTATATTTTGATATTTTAAAGCTTAAAGTGACCATAAAAATCCATTGAATTGAGAACTTCCATTTTATAAATTTATAATGAAAATCAAATGAACTCCAGTTCATTGGAAGGTGATTAAAATGAAATCTCTGAATAGTTTCAATTTTTAATGCTTGTTTGATTTACATTTGAAAAAGCTCTGAAGGTGAAATAGGGGTCTAAAATATATAAAGGAATAAGGCTTTTCAAACATTTTGATATATAAAAAAAAAGTTATAAATGGAGTAAAGTGTAGTAACTGTTCATTGATATAAAACTTTTTTTATCAATGAAAATAATAGATTTTGTCTTCTCTTGAAAAGTCATACCTTTTGTTTTGCTCAAATGTTTTGATTGTTTGCTTGAGCACCATCTACACATCTTGGGGGTTTTGATATAAAATTTTATTCACATTCATATCCCTATCTCTCTTTGTTTTTGATGTACATAAAAATGTGGGTTAGTTTTCTTACTATTCAGTTAATAAACTGATTCCTTATTCTGAGGCAATTTTAAAATGGATCTGTTTTGTACCTGTAAATGTTATTGGTAAGTTTACACTAATGTCCTCATCTTTACTGCTTCAATCTTCTACATGTTGTAATCATCGTCATCATTTGGTTGAATGACACATCCTGCTTGCACTTGTTCTATTATAAACAAAATAACATTTAATTTTTCTGTCACATGCAGTGGATTGGAAAATGCATTGGTCAAAATTTTGTCACTTGAAAACCAACAAAAATGGGGACATTTGTGTAATAAATGAATGCTTGAAATCTTCTAAAGGGAGCTGGTCACTACTATTCAATATTTTTCACTGAAAAAAGGGCTAAATTTTGTGCTTGAGTTTTGTTAAAATTTGTCTCTTACATTGTTTATTTAACCAGATAAAGTAGAGAAAATGATATGTAGAGAAAGTTGTAAATGTCCATGCAATCTGAAACCTGTTGGGTTATGTTGCTTGAAGGAATTTTGTTTGAGTTTGGAATAAAATCTATTTTGTTAGTGATTAATGTCAAAAAAATATCAGAATGTCTCCTTCATCAGAAATGAAATCTTTTATTTCTTAATGAAACTTGGATTCATAGAAAAAAAACATACAAACATTTTACTTTTTTTACAAAATGGACTTGCCTAAGAAAATTTAATTAAAAAAAAAATCCAATATCTTTTATCCTCATAATTAATATTAGAATGTTAAATCCCTAATGCTTAAATGAGATTATAGAGAGAAACAATATCCTATTTTCTGTAATATTTTATTAGGTAGGGGATTAATCACCAGACAAAGTAGATAACATCTTTTTTTTTTTTTTTTTTTGTCCAAAATGAAAAAGAAATCTACAAGTTTCCAGTCAGAGTAGAAATGGCTGCCATTTCTGATAAATAGCTTTATACTTCTAAAATTCACTAGTTCTGGTCATTGGAAATCAGATGGAAAAATTTTTTTTTTTTTGATATGTTGGGTTTGAATTTAAAAATAAAAAGAATGCAACATATCTATTATTATTTTTTTCAGGCCCTTAAGGAATAATTATGACTTTTATAAAACATTTTTTAGCCTGTCATCTTCAATATTGATTGTCTGTATATTGTAACCAATAAATTTAGCTAAAGTGGGTAGAGTTTTTAGACAAAGGTTAATGTCATGTTGCTGCTATAAAGAACCTTAATGTTGAAAGAATTTAATGTCCTCCCCACCCACTTTATATATTTGTAAAATCTTTGATCCAATCATGGCCTGTAAAATCTATTAAAACTTTGTAGTTATAATTTTTGTAGAATATGGAACTGTGGATTTGTAGGACTCAAATTTCATCATGATTACCTCCAGTCCCCAACACAACAGCAGACTGAAGCTACTTAGTTGTTATGTGTTTTGCCCCTGGAAGTTAAGTTGCAGCCTGTTGCCATAGTTACCTCAAAATACCATCACCCACACATGAACAGCCATTATTAGTGCACATCCCAGATCTTCAGTCATGTTCATGCAAGTGAATAAAAAAAAACAAAAAAAAACAAACATCTCGCCATCATCCCACTCTTCCTTCCTTCCGTGTTTATGTATTTAAAAAAATGACAACACAACAGTGTTTAGTTCTAAGTGGAAGGCCCCTTGTGATGAAGATAAAAACAAAACCAAAAATAGAAAAAAATTTTTTAAAAAAATAAAACAAAAAACCTCCAGTCATATTTTATGAAACTTGGTGGTAATTTTTTTTTTTTTTTTTTTTTTTTTTTTTACCCTGATTCATCTGTTCACAACACACATTAAAACCAAACAAAAAAAATCACACATTCATATTTTTAGTTTGAGCTTTTTATTCCTGCATTGTTTAAATTTTTTAATTTACTTTTATTCTTAAACCACGCTGGTGGCAAAAATTTTTTTTTTTTTTTTTTTTTTTTTTTTTTTTTTTTTTTAAGTGGTTCAATTGTCTAAAGATTTCTCGAGAGATAACTCAATATTTTATTGAGGTTATACGAGTTCACTTGCTGTTTGTAATTTTTCTTTGAAAGGCAGAAATAGATATGCAAAAATTGTCCATGTTTTTTCAGGCTTGTTTTTTTCTTCTTTTTTTTTTCAACGGGAGATAATTTAAGTAATTAAGGTTTGAACTAGTCATGAACACAAATATTGTACTTTTGAAAATTACATCAGAAAAATAAATTGATAATTTTCCATAATTCAGGTTTTATTTTTATGTGAATTCATTTGATATTCATAAATGTTTAATAAATTAACAACTGATGAAATTTGAACTCCTGCCAAAAATCTGATGCAAATTTTTTTTTTTTTTTTCTTTTCTAAATAAGCTTCCTTAACTTTTTTAAACTACTTCCGGAACTGGACAACAAACATTTTGTTGCATCATTTTATTTATTTTATCTTTCTATACAGGTTTTAATAAAATTTCCGGAAATTAAACCAAAATAACACCTTTTTCCATGTAACCTACCTTCCCCACTTTTTCTTCCTTTTAGGTCTGAAAAACTAGTCACCAACAGAATTTATCAGTAGTAAAATCTTGATAAGTGGGTCATTAATGAATAAACACATTGAAAAACAATTACATTTAGGAAATAAAAACATTCCTATTGTAATTTAGCACTTTCTGGGAAATATTGAAATATTAAATTACTGATTTTTAATCTGTTTATCACTCCTCCATAGATTGTGATATCTAATCTGAATTTATCATGTAGAAAACTTTTTCATTAGAGGATTCATCATCAGTCTTACAATCAGGTCTGGAACTACTTAGCATTTGTCTCTCTTTCTCTTTCTCTCTTTCTCTTTCAAATACTAACTTTTATCCAGACATACTTTTTATGAATATTCCATGAATGAGTCACCAACAGAAACAAATGAAAAAATGTATTTTGATTATTTAAAATGTTGATATTTGCATTGGAAACTCATCTCTTCAATTGATGGCTTAGATTATCAAGTCTCTATTTTGTTTCTAAGTTAATAATAAATGAACTGAGCTCTGTATTTAGGAAGATTAGTCATGTGCCATTTAAAAAACACACAAATTTGGGA